GTGGGATTTGAACCCCAGACCTCTTGCATGGCGGTCTGGCAACCTAACCACTACACTAAGATCGCCAGACCTATTATATCTTTTTTTAATAATACAAATCATTCATATTTTATTAAACAACTTCGTGATGAACAGTACTCGATGTATAAAAAATATATTGCGCTTGTTAGTCCTATTGAAACTCGTTGGAATAGCTATTATTACTGTTTTTCAAGTTTATTAAAAACCAAAGCAGCTTTAAAGGCAAGTTTATTAAAATATATAATTTAAAATATATATTTATAATATAAAAAAATAATAATAAATTATATTTTTAGACTCTTGTAGCTAAATTCGAGTTATCATCAACTTCTAGTTCTATGCAAAATACATCATTATCTACAAAAATTTGCGATATTATCAATAATAAACAATGGTGGATTACTATTAATAATCTCGCAAATCTTCTGTTACCATATTGTGCAATTTTAAATAAATTACAACAAGACAAAGCTCGATTACATGAGGTTCTTCATGGATTTGCATATTTTATCAAATTTTATAAAGGATATTCGGATCAAGAATTTGCTACTTGAATGATTAATCGTTTAGAAAAGCGTTGGAAATCTTGGGAGCAACCACTTCTTTTACTTGCCTTTCTTCTCCATCCAGAATATCGTATACAAATATTTGAAAGTAGTATTGAAGGATTATACACACAACTTAGTGACTGGATTTGCTGGTATTACTATGCGTGGTTCCAAGCAGAACCAAAATCATTACTTCCTGAGCTTGAAAAATTTCGTAAACAGCAAAAACTATTTACTTCACGTGTTGAAGACCAATTTGCAAATGATATTTTAGGTTATTGGGAGTTTTGCTCTGATTCAGCAAAAGAATTAAGTAAGGTTGCATGTCGAATTTTTTCAATTTGTGTAAATTCTGCATGTGTTGAAAGACTCTTTTCATGTATGGGTTGGTTTCATAATAAATACCGTAATCGTTTAAAGGTTTGTTTATTTTTTGTATTTTAATTATCATTATCTAATTATTATTTATAATAATAACTCTAAAATTACAAGTTTTGTATATTTGTTTTAAGCCTAATAAAGTATTACAAATGAGTCAATTACGTGCTGCGATAAATCATCATAATAATTTAAAAGCTATCAAAAGTTCAATTGAAACATTTCAAAGCAACGTTCAACTACTACTACCGCAGTCTGATAATTCTGAAATATTAATAGATCCGACACAAAATCAAGATTATACAATAGTTGTTAGTGATTCTGAAGACGAAGAAACCCAGAACCAAAATAACAATATTATGAATGTGGAGGAATGGAATAAAACAATATCAAAATGGGTTACTATGATTGATGATGATGAGTATTCACGAAGTGAAGAAGAGTGGGATCAACTAAATTCTGTTGAGTTAGAGCTTGATGAAAATATAATTAATTCAAATCAAGTTGTGAGTAATATAATTATTGACCATCCATCAATTAATAAGGATGCAAAATGGAATCTTTGCAGTTTATTTAGTCAAAACCTTCCAACTCCGCCATATTTTTTAGAATTAGAATAATATAAAAATTTTATTTTTATATAGTATTATATTATACTAACTTTTTTTTATTCTAAAAGATTGTTTTATTTTCTTTTTTATTTATTTATAAAGTCAACTAACTCTATTTGATATTAAATTTAGACTATTCATACTTTTGATATTTATTCTGTTACAAATATATTTTTTATTTATATCGATATATTTTCTTTTATAATTTTTATTTTTATATATTAGATCAGTTAGGTAAAACAAGTTTGCTTATTTCTATTAATTGCAATATAACTTTAGCATGCTATTGTTTCTAATTTTATACTAATTCTCTTTTATTATAATAAAAGGATAATTGCTTACTATGTTTTCAATCTTTGATTATTTTTTATATAGTTTAAAATGTTTTAAAAACATGTATAGGTTTTTTAAAATTATAATTTAATTATTCCGATTCAGAAAACTATATATTGTTCTTTTTTATTAAATTAATATGAATGAAATAATATAATAAGTATTGAATAATAGCAAATAGCCAAAATTAAAATTGATATATCAAACAACACTCTTTGAATGCTATTTGATATTGTCATTTATATGATATGATAGTGTCGATTAGCATTCAAAGTATGCTATTAACACTTTAAATTTTTTTAATTTTGACTATGTAGCATTAAAAAATATAAATCTCAAATTTAAATACTCTCTGACTAATATTAATATGAATATTATTATACTCAAAATACTTTTATTACTGAATAATTGTTTTTTACCCAAAATTCTTTTAAATTTTAAATTTTTTACAAATTTCTATTTAAAAAATAATTTTTCTAATAATTTCTCTACATATTTCAATTTTCTAGTAAATCATCTATTACATATCCGATATACTAGATTTTGTAGTTAGTTGACTAAGCAACAGTAAAAATTTTGTCTTCGCTCAAATTTTTACAAACTTTGAGCAAAGGAATATTGATATTATTCTATTTATTTTCAATGTTTTTAGATTCTATAAACTAGTAGAATTCGAAAATAGTTTTATTGCACTTTCAAAAAGATGTGAACACTGCAGATAATTTTGTCATGTGAGAATCAGAGATTTTGCGATTTCAAAGAATCTCAAAGATTTTTTAAATACATGTATAATGTAATATTTCTAATTAATATGATATATACGTAATTATATTATTTAGTATAGATTCTTAAATTTAAATAATCTTAATGATTCTCTGCCATAATCATCTCAAAAATCACATGTTCACATCTTTTTGCAAAGTGCTATACATTGAAATTAGCCAGACTATTATCAAGAAATCTTTAATTTGAAAAAAATAGCTAATATTAGAACTTCAAATATGCGATAGATAATAAAATCAACTAATATAATTCTTAGCTGATCATAAATTCATATTTTAGATTCCTGATTCTCAGATTCCTATTTAGTATATAATATGTAAAATTTGTTAATTATAGTAATTTGAAAAGCACGATAATAAATAAACTTTATCTACAGTATACTTAGTATTAATGATTAATAAAGACATAAACTAGAATTATAATAGGTTAATAAATAAACTTTATATTTTAATGCGATATGAGAAGTACTATACTCATTATTAAAAAATTGCAAAAGTATATCTTGATTTCTTGTAAAAATGTAATTTTACTTATTAGAACCTATATATTATAAACTGTTGGCACCCATTGGCTCCATTCAGAAATTACTCTCAATGGAGCCAATGGATAATATCAATGGAGTTGTTATCCATTTGCCTCAATGGATAAATGTGCCAACCCTGCTAATTGGATATCTTCCATAATTTCTGATACTTTGGTTCTATCTGCTACCCTTTCATTGCTATTTACCTTTTCTTAGTGTTGAAAAATCTGTCTAATATTTCCGTGTGATTCTATTTCTTTATCTCTTTCTGCTTCTGTAATTAGTGCCTCTT